GTATAATTGTTGGCTTTAAATGAACTCTTCAAAGCGATGTTTTGTTTAAACACACAGATATTTGTATAAAAATGCCGTAATTAAGAGGGCATTTTTGTGGTAAGGGAGCACCGATAAGCACATATATTAGTCATAAAATGATGGACAGAAAGAATCAAACTTGATAAAACTGCCAGATTCCACATCAGAAACAAACACTCAGAATACTATATATGGTGGGATTGAATTATCATAAAAGGTTTGTGAGACGACTGCTTTTGTTGGTTTATTAGGTGTCCTAAGGAAAAGGATAATTATGTATGCAATAATTATTCTGTTGGAGGGCGTGCTGGTTAGTGGCTGAGTTTGATGTTTCTTGCCGTTCATGGGCTTTTCTTTCGGTTGTTGTTGATCGATTGAAAATTCACTATTATTTTTTGGGTTTTATTTAATAATCTTTGATTTGATGTTATAGACAGGACTAGATAATTGTATGTTCTATGTTGTGTGTTAGGTAAATAAAAATTGATGTAAATATATATTTAAAAATTGTTAATATTTTTTATGATAAAATAAATTTAAATTATATGAAGATTTACTTGATATGACATGATCGATTTAACAAGTTTAAAAACAACTTAAATAATTAATAAAAATATAATTTGATTCAAAATAAATATTTAAGATGATATTTTTTTATAAATATTGGAAAGATAACATATTTGATCGATTTGGATCAATCTACCAATTTGAATATTAAGTTATGAGACTATGATAACATCATAGAATTCAAGTCAAAACAAATTATAAAGTCTAATTTTTCACAAATGATATCGACTTTGTTTATACATTACCATATAGTTTGATAATTTAAAATAACTTGGGTTAGGCATATTTATAAGAACTTGAGTCAGATATAGATTATAAATTATTATTACTATAATTTTTGATAATTTTTTTAAAAATATTATTACCATTGAAAAAACCCATAGATTTGATTTGAATGATAAAATTATTATTATTATTATTATTATCTGGCAGAGGCGCCAAACCCAAGTAAATTGGGTCTGATTAGGTGTGCAGTGCTCTGGATCCAAATTATATGGGTCTGATAAAAGCATAAACCCAAGTTACTTGGGACCCCTTTGAGTCTTGCATTGCCGTCAAACCCAAGTTGGTTTGGTCTGTATTGGTTGTCAAACCCAAATGGCTTAAAACATTCTTTATACTCTTAATATTTTTTTTATATTTTTTTAAAATTATATTGATTTGCTGCGGAGCGTGGGCCAATACATTGGTATGTTCACTAATTAATGCTAGAATTTTTATTACAATAGCTAATTTAGCCCAACTATTAAATGATAAAATAAAAAAAGTCAATAAAAGCCCAACTTAAAAGAAAAAAATTGAAAGAAAAAAATTAAATGACAAAAAAAACCCTAGCATGTAAGTGTGAGTGGCCCAACATGCTTTGGTTAGCTATGTTCTTTTTGTTATTTTAAGAGGCAAATAACATGTCAAAATCTGAGCTGAAAATATATTTTATGGAATTTAGTGTTATAAATAACTTTCTCTCTCTTTAATCAAAATCCAACAAGTCTTTCTCTCTCCTCTTTCAAATTCAGGACCGCAAAGTGAAAAAACAAGTCTTGGAGCAAAAATGAATTTTAAAAATCTAAATAGACTAAAAATATAGTTGAAGAATCAAAGTTAACATTTTGCAATAATTTTGAAAGTGCCATCTGGTTTCACCATGGTTTTTTACTTTGATTCTTTATTTTTTAATTTAACCTATCTTTAACAAATGGCATTGGAATTTATGTTATGTTAACTGACATGATCAAAAGATTGATATCTTCTTTCAAGTGCAAGAGTGTCGAAGTAATAAATAACTCGACAAGACAGAGGTCGAACCACATGGAGGTTAATTGTATAAATTATATATAACAATAATACAACAATAACAACAACAACAACAATAACAACAACAATAATAATAACAGTAGTAGTAGTAGCAGTAGTAGTATTACTACTAGTAGTAATAATAATAATAATAATAATAATAATAAAGAAGTTGATGAGAACTTTGAGATGAAAGATTAATGTAAGGATTAAATAATAATAACAACTAATGTCATGGTTAGATGATCGACTAATGGTATGTTAAACAAGTATAGTATAAAGTTTTATTATTCAATTGAAAACCATACACAAAGAAGGTTCCATTCAGATTATAAATTGTTAACATAATTACATTAGTTATCTTATTTAAATAATGCTAATATTTATAAATGTTGTCAGACATTAATAATTATAACTTATGTTAACAACAAATCAAGTTTCTTTATAGTTCAGGTGTTGGTTATACATATAGTATGAGCTATGAAAGTACCAAGTATTTGTTGTCCCAAGTGTTATACAATATAAATCTAGCTTAACCACTTAACAAGTAAAGTATTAAAAGTGAACAAGATAACAAATACAAAACATGTTAGTATCAAACATCAAGGTCCATGTTGAGTTTATATTATACTTATTCTTACGCCATTAGTGTAACATTTTCACCTTGACATAATAAACTTAACAAAATATAATGAAAGAAAGAAAAATAAATAAACAAAATAAGAACATAAATGAGATAAAAGTTAACTAAGTAAAGAAAAGGAAATGAAAGGCATAAACTTGATATTAATGAAAGGAAAATATAAGTATTATAAAAATACAAAGAGAAAAAGTAAGAATATGATCTTGATCTGAAAACTAAGATACCTAAATGCATGGCAAATGCCTCATTTTTATAGGCCAAAATTAGAAACTATTGATTTGATGAGTAATTGATGAGTGGGTGGCCAATTCTTGACTTGGTGACAATCCTTGTCTTTTTTTTGTTTGCCCAAAATGTCATTGATAATGTCAGAATTGGAACCACTCAAAAACATGAAAGTTTTAGGAAATTATCTCAGCTTTTCAGAAAAAAATTGAGGTTATTGGAACTTCTAAAACTTCAGATATGGGCTAAACACTAAACAGTGCTTGAGTTATAGAATAGATTCAGACTTTTTTATTATTGCTACAATTTAGATTTGAAAATGACCTTTTTAAATCTTGGAATCCTATGAAAGTTATAGGCATGTGTCTTACCTTTTCATTCATATAAAGTAGACTTAAATCCGAGATGTACAACTCCAGATATGATTCAATTACTGAACAATGTTTCGATTTGGACTACACCAGCATCTCTTTTCTAAGTTTGGCTATCTCTTTGACCTTTCAATTTTAATTTTTAAACTCATCAATCTATTCTTTCATTTATGTGATAGGCCTGCATTTAAAATGAACATTTACCACAAATTAAAAGTATCTTATATTATTAGATATGTTATTATAAAACATGTTTTATGTAAAGAGTTATTGATACTTCAAGTACAAAACAATAATATAAAACCTTGATAAAAATATATTTTTAAGTACTAATTATTAACCAAGAAAAACTGAAGGACTTTATGCTATATATATGATCATGCTACCTTTTTAGTTGGGGTCTAAAATAGGAAAATAAAAAGAAAAGGCTATTCCTAATAAGGGAATATACAATTGAGTGATATGGATATCTTGTGAATTTGTTTCCTTTTTTATTCAGATTATGTGAATTTGATGGCAATAGGATCTCCTAGAGATGTTGAATGTTTATCTACACTGTATAGAAATGTAGTTTTGGGAGGATAGACCCAGCGTGAAAAATCCTATCAAAAGAATACAGAGAGAATCCATTATTGTTATTTTATTTTCTTGATGGGTATATAAAAGCTTAGTCAACGTTGTGAACCCCATAAGAGGGCCATAGAGATATGATCAGTAACACCGCCACGATCTCTTATTTCATATGTATGTAAACATTTCTTCCTACCACCTCCACCACATACGAGAAAGACGTAGGAGAAAAAACAAAGAAAACAGTAGCCTCTAGCAAGTGACAACAGAGAGAGAGAGAGAGAGAGAGAGAGAGGGAGAGAGAGAGAGGAAAAGGACGGGAGTGCCCTCAATTCTAAAGTTTTGTATTTTGGAAACGATCCATGCACCTCTAAGCGGGAATCTCTTGGGAAATCGATTCTGTCATCTTCATTCCCCACTCTCCATATTTAAATACCTGGGCGTGGTTTTGGGCTACCTTGCTCCTCGCAGCAAAACAAAAAATAAACATCATGTCCTCTCAATATTACTCCTCTATCCATCTCTTCTCTACGGTAGTACCAAGCACACCAAGATCTTCCTTTTCCTCCTCTAACAATATTATCCATCCCCTTCCTCCTCTATCTTTCGCTTCAGGTGAGTAGTTTGCCTAATTAATTCCCTAATCGGTCACCTCTTCTTATTCCTTCTGAGTCTCAACGAAACCACACCGGCAACACGCCAACTTTGTACTTTTGGTGTTTTGTTATTTCTTTTTTCTGCTTAAACTCCATGCGTGTAATTTTGTGGGGTTAATGATGATCCCTCGTGAAGTTTGTCTAGAACCTTGCTGTTAATCAAGGAAAGCGATCATTAGCATTACCTTTACCATTTCAAGATTGTCTTACTTTTTTGAGGGATTGATCATATTTCATGTTTTTCTTTGATTTAATCGCGAGAACCACACCAGCAATATATACACTTCTTTTCTTTCTGATCATCTTGGATGGTTTTTGGGTTTATAAACGCCAAAATGCAAATATTAATTGCCCCCGGCTCGCTGTAAAAAATGCCTGTCATATATATCAGTACTGGTTACCCTTTTAAATATCTTTCTTTTTCTGCATCCATTCGTGTGTGTGTGTGTGTGTGTGTGTGTGTAAAAGAATCAATCTGAATTTCTTATACTTAGTGGCAACATCGTATATTCCTACCCAAAAGTGCTATTGTATTTTCTTTTCCTAAAGAATTCCACTAAAATCTAGTACATCGATAATAATATTTAATTTACAAATAAGTAACAAACTACTAATTATTACGACTAAGGGAGGTAGTTATTTGAGGTAACCACTATGGCGTCCTTTTCAATAGGTGTTTGGCTGTATGGGGCTAGAGGCAAGCACTTTCATGCTCACTCAAGATGCAGTGCTATATCCAAATCTCGCACTCAAGGTACGCTACAAACTCTAATAAATTATTATTTAATAGCATTTAATATATAAGATTATTCCAAAAGTTAGTGAAATTCAAATGTTAAATCATTTAAGTTATTGGAGATATGTAATTGCTGTACAGGATATGCAGACTTGTTTCATCAACAAAATGGTCTGCCATTGATAAAATGGCCTCACGATGTTGTGGAGGATGACACAGAAGAAGATGCTGCTAAGGTGATATGAAAGTAGCAGCTTTTTTTTTTTTTGTTATAATACTATTTCATGCACTAAAAAAATAAAAACTCAATATGAGATTCTTTTCATTTGTTCTTCTTGTTGAAAAAAAAAAAGGTTTCTGTAGCTAAGGAAATAGACGAGCATGTCAAAACTATTAAAGCAATGCTGGAAATGATGGACGATGGAGAGATAAGCATCTCAGCTTATGACACCGCATGGGTTGCTCTTGTGGAAGACATTAACGGGAGTGGTCTTCCTCAATTCCCATCTAGCCTTCAGTGGATTGCAAACAATCAGCTTCCAGATGGTTCATGGGGTGATGCTGAAATATTTTTGGCGCATGATAGGTTGATTAATACGCTAGCATGTGTTGTCGCATTGAAATCATGGAATTTACATCAAGAAAAATGTGAAAAAGGTTAGTAGCCCAGTCCAGAAATCGCTGTGTTCCAGGGTAGCATGCAGGATCGATTTTCTCCACCCGAGTGTATTCATGATAAGCTAACATGGCACCCGCTTCATCATTATATCAGGTATGTTATTCTTTAGAGACAACTTATGCAAGCTTGAAGATGAAAACGCTGAGCACATGCCTATTGGATTTGAAGTTGCTTTCCCTTCACTTCTCGAGATAGCTAAAAAATTAGACATCGAAGTTCCTTATGATTCTCCTGTCCTGCAAGAAATTTATGCCAGGAGAAATTTAAAGCTGACAAGGTTGTTTCATTACACAAACTTCAGTCATAATTGTGTTTCCTAGCTTTCCTGTATATTATATGATAATTGAACTAAAGCGGTCACATCTTTTTACTATTTCGCAAAGTACACAGGAACCTGGTTATCATTACATGAATGTAATGCAATTATTGTGTGTGTGTGTGTGGATAGGATACCCAAGGACATAATGCACAATGTGCCCACAACACTACTCCACAGCTTAGAAGGAATGCCAGGCCTGGAATGGAAAAGGCTTCTAAAATTACAGAGCCAAGATGGGTCATTCTTGTTCTCCCCATCCTCCACTGCCTTCGCACTCAGTCAAACTAAAGATACAAACTGCATGGAATATTTAAATAAGGCGGTCCAAAGATTTGAAGGGGGAGGTAAAGTGCTTTAATTATTCCCGTTCTTGACTAGAAATCATTTACTTTGGGGATCACATTGTTAATTCTATCTGTTTAACCATTTTTTTCAGTCCCCAATGTCTACCCGGTTGACTTATTTGAGCACATATGGGCCGTGGATCGTTTGCAGCGCTTGGGAATATCAAGATATTTCGAATCCCAGATCGACGAATGTGTCAGTTATATTCATAGGTATATTTCTTTTTTCTATTTAGAGGAATGCACGAAATGTGTAAGAAAACCATTTAGTATTCTAAAATGGTATTTAAAGTCACTTCAGATATTGGACTGAAGATGGCATTTGCTGGGCAAGAAACTCCGAGGTCCATGATATTGATGACACAGCCATGGGATTCAGGGTACTAAGGTTAAATGGGCACCATGTATCTGCTGGTAAATCTATTTACGACCAAAAAAAAAAAAACAGTAAAGAAACATTTCCAATTACTGTTATATATAATCCTGGCGTTTTCTTTTATATTTGATAGACGTGTTCAAGCATTTTGAGAAAGGCGGTGAATTTTTCTGCTTTGCGGGGCAGTCAACAGCGGCAGTAACAGGAATGTTCAACCTGTATAGAGCTTCTCAGCTGCTGTTTCCGGGAGAGAAGATCCTTGAGAAGGCCAAGGAATTCTCATTCAAATTCCTAAGAGAAAAACAAGCTGCTAATGAACTTCTAGATAAATGGCTTATAACGAAGGACTTACCTGGCGAGGTATCGTCTAAAACTTGATATTTGCTGTACAATTTTATCAATCTTGCAGCACAAGCAAGTGAAAATTGTATAGAGTACTAATTTATTTTATGCTTAAGAGCACCATGCTCACCATTGTTATTAAACCCATGGTGCTCTGGCTTTCTTGGGTTTCTTTTTAAATTAATTATTTTAAAAGTTGATTAAAAAAATCAAGTTAATCTATTTAAATCCAATTAAATTTGAATGAGTTAATTTTATTTTTAAAAAATTTTATTTTTATATATATAATATTATTAGTTTACTTTAAATTTTTTTTATCTCAAATAATTTGTTTATTTTCTAAAAAAAATTAAATAATATAGTTTTAAAATAAATCCGAGTCGATCAATATCCAAGTTTACTTTTAGCAAACTCACAACCCATGTCTAAGGATAAGGGTGGATTTAACCACTGTGCTGCTCACGTGGCAATTTCAAGTGTTCCCTTCGTTCTACACTGCAATTAATTTTATAGACTTTAAATTTATTGATAATATATAGGTGGGATTTGCATTGGAAATTCCATGGCATGCGAGCTTGCCTCGCGTGGAGTCGAGATTCTACATAGAACAGTATGGTGGTGAAGATGACGTATGGATTGGGAAGACCCTTTACAGGTTACACACTCAAGTTGTTGCTCATGTTCCTATTTTTTAATCTCTTTTATTTAGCCTGGACACTCAATTACTGGGCAGCACTCAGACACTCACAATGTCTACTTTATTTATAAGTAGTGTAGTATATGCTTCTTCTTTTTTTGTTACAATAATATACGTTTTGGATCGAAGACAAAAGAACATATACATATATAGTAGTAGCCACCAGCAATCAACGTGACCGTGTTGAATCTTCCAATTAAAGTTAATTCATAAGTAGCTCTTCCTCTTGATACTGGCAAATACGTTTTTTTTTTTTCAATTAAATTAAGTACATATAATAATTGTATGGGCAAAAGAAAGTAGAGATATGAGTCTTAAATTCACAAATTTTATTTTTCTGAAAACAATGATAATCAATTTTATTTTCTTAGGAGCTTTACAAAATTTTATATAGACTAGAAATCCTATCTTAACTAAAAGAATTGAAGATTATAAAAGAAAGAAGTACAATATTTGAAAGTAACAAATAAAATCACAAAAATTATCAAAGTAAGAGCCTTAGAGTGAGATTTGTGATATTTAAAGATCATATGGTCTTCGTAGCGATGCATTGGATATTATAGAGAAAACAACCTTTATATTCTCCTATCAGAATTTGAGTGCGATTCAACGGTCGGATCAAAATTTATAGCTTTTTGACCTATTTTAGTCTAGCACGACCAAACCTCATCTTGAGTTTAGATCTATCCCACTAGTTCTAGGTTATCCATATAATCTATCTGGTGCAAATCTTTATCTAGTTAATTGGGGCAAACCCACACATGATTGTCCAGAATCATTCATTATCCATTCCTCCTCTAAATAAGAAGTTAAGTATTAGACATTGAATACATCATAATTCTTCATGTGATGTGGAAGACAAATCCTATAAGCATTATTATTTATCTTTTGCAATACCTCGTAAGGATTCATCTCTATTTCTTTCAACTTGTTACACTCACCCAATAAAAACCTGTCACATGTAAGGATTACCCATACCAAATCTCCAACCTCAAACACCACTCTTTTATGACAAGTATCAGTCAGAGCCTTATACTTGGCATTATTATCACTGATTGTCTGCTCGATCTACTCATAAATGTTATGCAAGTAATCTATCATATTAGTAGCTTGGATGTTTAATTGTTCGATACGAGGAACAAGATTTAACTCCTACTACTTTTCTATTATTAAAGCCCTCGAGTACACCTTTGACACTATTTACAAAGACTGAAGATACAAAACATCTTGAATTGATTGTCACAAGCCATTAAAGTATCATGCCACCAGTTACTCATCTATTTCTTCCATATCATTCCTTGAAACTAGTTCGTAAAATTCATAAGTATAGTCATTGACATATTTATCTTCATGTTTCAGCGTGTGGAGCCTCTTATAGCCAAAAGGAAAAAAGTGTTTTCTTGTCTTCTTCTTCATCTTGTATTAATCATCGATTCTAGCTTTTCTTTGTCTCTCTCTTATCTTCTTCAACTGCTCCCACCAAGCAAATGTCTTGCCCATTAAACTAATCGCAACCAACTCCATTCACATCTACTAAGACACATCCTGTATTAAAAACTATGTTCAATCCCATTCAATTATTAGTCTATGAAATCTTCTGCCTGTAAAGTCCCTGAAAACTTTGGAATTTTGATATAAAATCCAAAATCCTCAAATATGTTCTCTTCTCGCTCAAGGGGTGTTCTCATCTGAATCTGCTTTAGATTATTAGTACTAGTCAGGGACTTATTATCAAAGAACACATAATAATTGTATAGGCAAAAGGGGTTGTAGATGTGAGCCCCAAATCACAAGCTTTATTTTTCTGAAAATAATGATAATCAAGTCTTTTTTTTAAAAGGTTTACAAAGCCTTAAATGGGTTAGAAAGCGAAAAAAACAATGCAAAATTACAAAGGAAAGAAGTATAAAATCTGAAAATAGCATGAAATCTAAAAATAATAAGGAAAATCACAAAACCTACCAGAACTATAGCCTCAGGGTGAGATTTGTGATATCTAAAGATCGTACAGTTACCGTAGCGACGCATTGGATACTATAAAAAAAACAACATTTATATTCTTCTGTAAGAATTTGAGCACAATCAAATGATCATATCAAAAGTTATAGCCCTTTTAACCCTTTATTTTAATCTAGCGTGACCAAACCTCTTATTAGACCTAGATTTGTCTCACTAGTTTTAAATCATCCATGTAATCTGTCTAGTGCAAATCTTTAAATAGTTAGGGGAGATCCGCATATGACTACTTAAAATTACTCGTTATCGCAGGCTCGACTATATATTCTTTCTCTAGTGATTTTGAAAAAAAATAAAGATATTCATTTTTATATGAAGAAGATGTTTTAATAATAAATCGGCAATCACAATTTAATTGACTAATAAAATTCAGTTATAATTTGACATATTTAGTTAAAATCTTTAGTAAAATATAAAATCATAGCCCATTTTGAAAAGTTGATTTTGCAACTATTTGAGAAAAAATAAAAAAGTATAAAGATAATAAATAGCTTTGAAATATTCCAAGACGCATTATAAATAGCTTTGAAATATTCACTTGGATTTGGCATGCTCTTTATTTTAACTATAAAATTAGAATATATAATTGTTGGTAATTACAAGATAATTGCCATTGTCCAATTATTAGGCTCTTTTCAATGCAGAATGCCATATGTAAACAACAATGAGTATCTCCAGCTGGCAAGATTAGACTACAACAACTGCCAAGCATTACATCGCATTGAATGGGCCAATTTTCAAAAGTAAGTGTCCATGACAGCACCAAATCTTCAATTATAATGCAACCAACCCCTTAAAGAGTTGATTAGCATATATTCTATAAAATATTGATTTGCAGGTGGTATGAAGAATGCAATCTAACAGATTTTGGGATAAGCAGAAAAACCCTTCTCTACTCTTATTTTTTGGCAGCAGCCAGTGTATTTGAGCCGGAAAGGTCCATTGAGCGAGTTGCATGGGCTAAGACTACGATCTTGCTCGAGATGATCCACTCTTATTTCCACGAGGATAATGACAGTTCTGGTGCTCAGAGGCGAACTTTCGTACATGAATTCAGCACTGGTATTAGCATTAATGGAAGGTAAATTCACTGATCCATAAATAATTAACATTCTTCACTGTCTTAAGCTTAATTATCATCAGTTAAGGTTAATTACATTGCATTATCAGCAGACGAAGATGGGCAGCCGATCGATTTAGCAAGTTAACCTCTTGTTGACTTTTAGGAAGCCAACAAAGATGAAGAAAACAAATTACATATAATAATAGCACCGAGGAGAATTTCAAAGTGCTTTAACTTTTGTCACAACATTGACGAGAAAAACAAGAGGCCGTCCACTCTTGTCTATCTCATCAACTTACTGTACCATATGCCTTTCTTCTAACAGATTAAATAATATCATTTTTATTCTCATTTTCTTATGTATTTACTAAATTATTAAACTATATTATGCATTGTAACTTTTATTTGCACAAAATTATCTTGATTTTGGTGGAGATCTAATATGTATAATCTAGCATCATTTTTGTATGCAACCTGCATTAATCAGTTTATGACTCTTAGGTGTACAGGCAAATTGATTGCTGTTAAACCTTAATTGGGTTACGTGATATACAGGAGGTATTTTTTCCCCTCTCCTGCTTGTCTCTAAACCGGCTAGCAAACACATGAGCACTTGCTAGTTTTGAATATAATGTCAATGTGCCTTTCTTTTGATAAAATAATAACAATTTGCTTAAGGTTCAAGGAAAGGAAATTGATTGTTTATGTGTGATTCTTGTGTGTCGCAGGAGGTCGGGTACAAAGAAGACAAGGAAGGAACTCGTTAAGATGGTGCTCGGAACCCTAAATCAGCTCTCTTTTGGCGCATTGGAGGTTCATGGTCGAGACATTAGCCACAGTTTGCGTCATGCTGTGAGTTGCTAACTGAATATAATATGAGCAAAATGAACATTAAAAATATGTTACTCTATTCCAGTATGCCTAAATATAGACTAGTACAAGTTCCAATGTTCTAATTCAACTGTGTTTTCTTTTCCCTAACAAATATATGTAGTGGGAAAGGTGGCTCTTGAGCTGGGAATTGGAAGGAGATAGACGCCGAGGGGAAGCAGAACTACTGGTGCAGACAATAAACCTTACTGCTGGCTATAAGGTCTCTGAGGAGCTCTTGGTCTATCATCCTCAATATGAACAGCTCGCCGACCTGGCAAACAGAATATGCTATCAACTTGGTCATTACCAGAAGAACAAGGTTAGTGAAAGAGACTAGCTAGAGCACCCTTACGAATTTCTTAAAAGCATTTTAATTTGGCTGCATACATACTTCTCTTTGGCATCTTAAATAAATGTTTATGCATTATGTTATGCCAGTGTCGTTTTCCTTAAGGGATTCTGTTATGGTCCATTTAAGACGCACAATGTCACTTAGGGACTCGTATTGGTCATTCAATCGTCCCTTGCAAACCCTGCTACTGCCATGTACACCGTACAAGGATAGTTTACAATAAACAGTTAAAGAAGAGAAATGGGGATCGACTGCTGAAGTGATATTAACTGAATGATCTCTTCCTACATGAGATGACAAACGCTTCTCTCAACGGATTCTGACAAGGTTATCAAAGAGCAGTTAGAATGCTTAAACTGATATAACTTGGGTGCGGTTTCTCACAAAAAGAGTGCTGTGGGGGCGGGGTCTGCATCTCCGAAAATATCAACTGGACGCAAATAAGCTCCACAACTTTTTTATACAATTATATATACCATCCTCTTTCTTGTTCGATGAATTTTATATTTCTTCTTAAAATAATCATTCAGCGATTGTTTTTCTTCTACGATTTTTTAGGTGCATGACAACGGAAGCTACAGCACTATTACCGGTAGCACTGACAGAATCACAACCCCACAAATAGAATCTGACATGCAAGAACTTATGCAGTTAGTGATCCAAAAGACCTCGGATGGAATAGATGCTAAAATCAAGCAAACATTCCTTCAAGTAGCCAAGAGTTTTTACTATACCGCATTCTGTGATCCTGGGACTATCAACTACCATATAGCTAAAGTGCTTTTTGAGACAGTGGCTTAGCCTTTATATGTATTTGTATTATAGCCATTTCATCAGTGCTTTCTTGTAAACGAAAACCACAAATGAATAAAATCATTCAATTTCACAGTAAAGATAGGTATATGGTATGCTACACGTAATCCAAGATATTTATCTTTGGTGTCAGTAAACATGTTTTTTTTTTTTTTTTAATCTCGGGCTACATGCTGAGCATCAGAAGTGACCAGCGGATTGATTGAATGGTTCAGACATCCAGGTGGTCTATCTGCCGATCTGGATCAAAATGAGCGATATGGGACTCGATTAGTTTTTTGATAAATTTTGTCATGCTTCCTTCCATGGATTAAAAATGAACGACTTTGGTCGTATTACTCGAGATTTATTGAACAATATCAATCCCCGAATTCTCAAAGACTTTCGAAATAGCCCTCCACCACAATATAGTAATTGATGATATAGCCAGCGGAAAGCCAACTTTTTTAGGATTTTTTTTTGTTGGATAATCATCGAGATTATATTAAAAAGGTCCTAAAGGCAATAGCCAAAGTGAAATACAAGAATATGAAAAAAGAAAAAAATAATAATTTATTTTAGGAATTAATCTCAAATTTTTAGAAATCTTATATGGGTATGTATTTTAGAAATCATGTCAAATTCTGTTTAGGGATTAATCTCTTCAACAGTCTTCCCTGATTATATGGATATCCAAAGTGTGCTTTGTGATAGATATTTGTAAACTCCCTCTTAGTGTTCACCCTATCAAATCCAACCCAGACAGAAAGTCTACAGACATGTAAAAACCTAGAGATAGCTATGTCTCGTCCAAAATCATATATAGGACATAAGACACTTGCCTGCTTGTCCAAAATTAGCCAACTACATATCTATACGAATAAATTAGATAGTGGACGTAAATATATGGTAAGCCACATTAATTGAGCTGATACATAAAGAACGTGGCCCTCTTTTGAAAACTTGCTGCAAGGCAGATTGGTTACTTGAATGTTTTCAGTGAAAAAATGGCTGACAATGTCACACAAAACATGTTAAAAAGTGAGCTGTGCTTGAAACAAGAGTGGAGATTCCTAAAATCCCTTATCAAGATATTTGGTGTCTCGTTGACGAGAAACTAGATAGGAAATCTCAAACTCTATCTCTAATAAGTTTTAAACAACTATTTTAATTTAAAAAATCAAGTTATTAAATAAAATCAAAATATAATTTATATTATTATTAAATTTTTATTAAATAAAATGAGATGGTAAGATTTGACTTGATTAACAAAATTCTAATCTTACGTTAAAAAATATATTAATCTAGAAACTCAAATTATTAAAGTAATCTTTAAAATATGATTTATATTTTATATTAATTTTGATATCTTTATAAGGAGTCGTCCTTTAATTGGCACCAGCAACTTGTATCAAATGTTGCTGACATGAGATAGTTTTATCAACTAGCATAGCATCTAGGTATGATTACTTCCACATTTCCAAGCCTGAATCGAGAGAGAGAGAGAGAGAGAGATCATGGGTTTGCCCTAACTTAGCAAGTGGGTGTGTTGGTGGGTATGGTAAATTGACCACATTAATTTATTATGAAGATAATATTGTGGTCTCCACCTTTTTGATGAGGTTGTCGCTGCTGAAGTTTCTTCCAAAATGGAGAGTGACAGAATGGCAGACAATGTGACGTGAGACTGTGTTTTCAAAGTTGATTCTCTTTTTCAGTCAAAATGCATAGTGACGGGTGAAAGTTTTGATTTGTGATCGAAATTTGTGACCGTGTGCAATTCGATGTGGAGTTTTTTTTTTTTTTTCAATTCATGATCAAATGTTAGTCACAAATCAAGTTGTCACAATTTCGGTTTAAATTTAGTTTGTGAATTGTTTTTCTTTGTGATTGATACGTGACAGAATTAAGAATGATGATGTGTTATCACCGAAAATAAAAATAAATGATGTTAGTAACAATTATTTGAGAATTATGATGATTTACCATCAACAATTTCGGTGGAGAATCAATTATATTAAAAAAATCATGATTAATCATCAATTTTTTTATTTATAAAAATTAATTATATTAGGTTAAACAAAATTATTTTGTAACCTATTTGTGAACACGAGTTCCCTTCAAAAATTCAATTTTTAAATTCCATCCAAATTTTAATTTATTTTTTTATCACAAAGTTTTCATAAAATAATATTTTTGTGATTAATTTTGGGTTTTTTTATTAAAAAAATCCATAATTTTTTTTTAGTGTTTATACACGTCTCATTAATACCTGAAATTATTACCATATCCCATCAAACAAATCTTGTTCAAATAGTACCCAATATGAACCGAGGACTGTACATGCTCCGAAGCAAGTGATGGGTTCCATGAGGTTGGAAGTGGATCAATCATGGCCATGGCAGATGGTAAAGAAAAGTTTCTTCTTCTTCTTTTTTTATATAAACAGAAGATATGTTGATCAAAAAGCAAAGCGAAACATAAGATCTATAAAAATTCATTAAAAAAGAAAAAACTTTAAAACATGAGACCCATCATTGTAAAAGCAGAAGGCATATTGTTTGGACCCGTTTGGGTAAAGCCCTACAGATCACCATCACTGATTTGAGAAAAATTCTTTTGGATAAGAACAATGGCACGTGAAGCTTCTCTTCATGCCTGTTTCTTTGTCGTGCAAGCCGGGAACATGCAAGGGACAGAGGTCCCATCAGTGCATACGCAATGGAATTTGAACTTTAAGGTGTGATTTGATATCTACAGGTTCCACTCTCGGATTCAGGTGAGAGGGGCCTCTGTGTGGAGTTCTTAGGACTTCAAAAGCAGCCCATTGCCAAGCATAGCCTTAAACGTCACAAAATAGTTTGGCTTGCTGAGATTGATAAGGTACCCTACTATCAGTTGATTAAGGATGTAATGGACTGAAGTACTCTAGAGTATGATCGAATACGTGGCCCTCCCCACTGTTTTGCTGCATCGTCCTCGAAATCCTATGTGCAATAATCGCAAGCCCATTCAGGCTTTCTGCGCCATGGCTTTGGTTGTCACTAGAAAACGAGCCTGCTACGCGAATCAGTCTTCACCAGACATTCACAAACGTGTGCGAGGCTGCTACGGGAATCAGTCTTCACCCAATCACCTACAGAGATAGATCACCCGACATTTAAAAATTTACGTCCCATTAAATTCATATATTATAACCATACGGTAAGAAAATCACTAGTTGGAAAAGAAAAAAAAAAAAAAACCTCTGAAGCAATTCCTTGCTATTAAAATTTTGCAGTCTGCTTCCTACGGACTCTTCAAAGGCACTTCTAACAGAGCGAATGCTTAGCTTACCATAGACAATCTGTAGTCTAACAGTCATGCCAATATCACCTCCCATAAGATCCTCTTTAAACTCCTTGCTTTCCCTTTTTTTTTTTTTTGGTAATAATCAAAAGTTTTATTATCCCTTTTTTTTTTTTTGGTAATAATCAAAAGTTTTATTAAGAAGCAAAGGAAAGAAAACAAAGAATACGAAAGCACAAAAGCAGCTGCATGAAACAATAGAGTGCAACAATTGAAGGGAACAAAAAAAACATAAGAAACCAACTCTTTTCTATTGAACATTCTCCATATTAAGCTCTAAAGAACTTGAATCAAGCCTCAATTATAAAGCAATACTTTGACACACCATTGAGAAATAAATTTAGAGGTTAGGGACAACGTTATTAAAAATAACATCATTCTTGTGGAGCCAAAAATTTTATACAACGTATAAGAAAAGATGTTGTCATGAGAGATTCTGCAACTTGCCTTTAACCATGGAAGACTATTGATAGAACATATTGTCAATAAATTTTGAAAAAACACTATAAAAGCTCCAATTAGAAAGCATTTTCATCTATATATTAAAGCATTTTTAATCTATATATTCCAAGTGAAGCAGCAGTGAATTAAGAAGTGACTTGAAGATTCCAAACTTTTATTGCAGAAAACACATCTTGATTCCTTAAAGGTGAGTTAGTCATGCTAAAATAAAAAATCTCTCATGATTACTTTGTCTTGGATTGTGGTTACTGTCTTAGACAAAGAGCTAGATGAAAAGTTACAATTTTAGTGAGGTTAGTTTTATCCAAACAAAAAATTGGAATGGTTTAGCACCAACATAGAGTAGCTAATCCATCATTTTGGAGCAAGATTTTACACTGAAGAGGCCATCGTTGTTAAGAGTCCAGATTTTCTTATCCATCTTGCCGCAAAACATAGGCTTAGAATCCAACAAGGATGATAAAAGTTATAGATGTTCTTGTTAAAAAAGAAATAGAGGTCTGCATCATTGCAGGGACCAGAGCCAGATTTCATTGCTCTATCTACCCATGTTAGTCACTAAAGCAGATTTAAAGGTAGACAAAAGATATAGCCTGAGGAAAGATATTTTGAAAGAGTAGTCACCAATCCAATTATCTAGCCAAAAGAATATTAAATTATCATTCCTCACATGAATTTGCAATGATTCATGAAGACATTGTGAATGTTGGTTAGAACAATTGATATAACATCCTTCCAAATCTTGGAGGGTTGGTTGCAGAAAATCAAGATCCCATTCTCAAAAGCTAGATTGTACATCGAAGAGATAATCATTTTTTATAAACCTGTACCTAGGGAAGAGAGTCTCCAAATTCATTTTAGCAGCAGGGCTCTATTTTTTGATATAAGAGAGCCTACACCGAGTCCTTCTTTCTTATCACGCATCACTAGTCTTCATTAGATATTGTATAAAGATTTCTGGTTAGTACATCCCCAATACAAGAAACATCTTTGGATGAATGAAAAAGCCTTCCTACACCTTTCGACATCTTGAATACAGATATAAAATATATAGGCAAGGAATTCAGGACACTTTTAATGAGACAAAGACGTCAACCATGTTTAATAATCTCACTTTCCATATATGAAGATTTTTATGAAACTTCTCTATCATGAGCTTCCATGCGGAGATTAATGGATGGATTGGTTCGTAGTGGCATGTCAAGATATTTGCTTGGAAGGGAGTCTGATCTACAAAAAATAGATGCAGCCAGGCGTAAATACAAGTGATCATCGATATTGATACCAATAATGGAGCTTTTATAGAAGTTTATGTGAAGTCTTGAACTCAGAGCAAAACATCTCAGAATTCTTTTGACCTGAACTAACTTATCAATATTTGTCGAGATGAATATTAGCATGTCATCTGCATATTGCAGGTTGCTAAGGAAAATTCCTAATGCAAATTGTAGCCCTTTGAGAATGTTCCCCCTAGATGTCCTTTGAAGAGGATCGAGAAGCCCTCAGCAACTATGTCAAACAAAAAAGGAGAAATCAGATCTCTTTGACGCAGACCTCACGGAATAGAGGATTCTTTTAAAGAAGATCCATTGATGAGGACTCAGAGTTTTGAAAAAGAAAGACATTCATAAATCATGCTTCTCATTTTCTGCCAAACCCCATATAACCCATGATATCATCTAGGTAATCCCAAGAGACTGAGTCAAGAGCTGAGACTGAGTCGAAGGCTTTATGGAAATCAATCTTGAAAATCAGACCTGTCGTTTTTCGCCTTTTTAGATCACTCACCAGCTCATTTGCAATCATAAAGCCATCTATAATATTGTGGTCTGCTATAAACGTTGATTGGTTAATGCTAATGATATCTTGCATAACAGTTTTTAGTCTAGATGCACGGATTTTGGCAATGATCTTGTAGATACCATGAATCATGCTGATGGGCCGAAAATCTTTAAACTCTATGGGTTCTACTGTCTTGGAGAGGAGAGTTACGTAGGTTGTATTGATTCCTTTGGGCAACCTTCCTGTTCTGAAGAAGCTTAAGACTATATCAAGGATATCTTGAGCAATAAAATCTCATGCTAATCTGTAGAATTTGAAGTTGAAAAGATATCTTGAGCAATAAAATCCCATGCTAATCTATAGAATTTGAAGTTGAAACCATTTGGTCTGGGACACTTTGACCCATCACAGCCCCATACACTGCACTTCACTTCTTCCATTGTGATTTCCTGCTCCAGCCATTCAGAGGATTCTTTAGAGAGGCATTTGAAACCCAAAGAATTTAACTGCAGCTTTCTTTCAGAGGGAGAGTCATACAGCTCAGAGAAATATTCCACAACCACCTACTCAATATCCTGTTAAGAATCAAAAGTGTTGCCATTATAGTGGATTTTTAGGAGAAATGATTTAGCCTTCCTGAAATTAGCAATCAAGTGAAAAAACTTGTTATTTTTGTCACACAATTAGCACCACATCTGTCTTGATTTCTGCCTCCAAATAGATTCAATGTGGTTGTTGCAAACCCAACAATCTTTCAACAACAAGTCTAAATGCTCCTACTCTTGGTCGATTATACCTTCTTCTTCATATTTTTCCTCTTGTATGTTGATAGTTGAAAGGGTTCGTTGGAGGGCAGCTTCTTGATTTTCAAATTCAAGCTTATTCCATTGCCTAAATCTGAGTACAATATGATTGAGATTTTTGAGAAATTTAAAGTGGCCAGGGTGAAGGGTCATTCCAGAAGTTTTCAATGACATGCTTGAAATTAGGGTACTGAATCCAACAGTCTAAGAAACGGAAAGGACACTATCCATGGTCCTGCAAGAAGCTAGACAAAATTAAAGGGCAATGATCTGAGAACTCTCTTGGAAGTTGACGAAGAGATAAACTAGGAAAGTGAAGATGGCAGGATGAGTTTGCAAAAATGCAGTCCAGTTTGCTCTTGGACCCTCCTCTGAACTAGGTATAAACACCTTCTGCTAAAGGGTATTTAATGAGCTCACATGACTGCAGAAATCTACTAAAAGAATTTGAGCCTGCAGGATGACAGATTCTACTGTTTCTGTCTTTATGAGAGAGTGTTTCTTTAAAATCTCTTGCTATTATCCAGGGAACCTCAAAAGCATGTTTAAGAAGAATGAGATCATCCTAAAGTTGTTATCTGTCCTGATAGTTACAAGGAGCATAGATGCCAATAACAAAGCAATGAAAATCACTGTGAACATGTTACCATATAAACCGATCCAACCATGACCATATTCAAGATTAGAGACTTCAAAGTTAGTGTTTTTCTGCATAGCAAGTAGACCTCTATTTGATCCCTAAGCATCATTACTAAACCAACTCACATGATTTTCATTCCAAATACAAGACACAAAACCAATGAAACAGTTAGCTAGCTTAGTTTCCAGCAAGAAACATATATCAATCTTATATTCTGTTAGTAATTTCATGATTCTTCTTTTTTTTTCTCACCATGCCCAAGCCACAGGAGTTCCAAGAAAGAATATTCATAACAGAATTAAAAGATCCATCTGCAGAAATTGGGGATGAAAACTTACTATTCATTGTTGTTTCTGCCAGTCTCCCCTCTCCTTTTCTAACTGCCTTATGATAAGCCCGAGAATTTTTTCCAAGAGAGCTGAATTACCAAGACCCAGAGCTTCTCCCAGATGGATCATTTTGTTGACTTCACTGTCTCACAACTCCACCGCAGATTCCTTAAGGTTACAGGTATTATTCACCCTGATGTAAGAGTCTATAGAAGACATGCCTGCTGAAGAGTGCAAGCAGAGGAGACTCCCAGTGGAGGATATTTTCTTTAGTCTTGGTTGTTTGGCTGTGGTGGTCCGGTGTTAGTTGGGTGTAAAAGTTCTGAAACAGAGAGTTTTCCATAATTTTCACTCAGAACTTTCCTCACTTCATCAACATCCGCATAAACACCTGCCCACTGACCTATTCCCATTAAATGAAGAACTGACCAGTTCTTTCATCCTTGAAGACATCCATTCAAAATTCACATCTTGCAAACACGCACTACTTTTCGTTGTCATAGTCATACATCGACAATATATAATCTCAGAATAACCTAAATACTGCATACACATTAATTCAGTTCTAAATTCTTCCAAATACATGCAGTAATGGTATATTTCTAAATTCTGTCAAATATATAGCCATATTTCTAAATTAAACTAAACAGTCGCAACCATGGATGAAACTAGTACAAAACTTGTCCCTGACAAATACTAAAGTGCCTCAAAACCTAAATCTAACCATAAAGTTATCACTACGTAGCAAGTGATTTCTTTTTTTTGTTATTAGCAAAGATCAAACCACATTTTTACTTCTGAAACCAGTATAGTAACTTCAAAATTTTACGCTTAAACATGATTGTTCACTCATAAAACACACTATGTTCATTATCCCATAAATTAAATGCAAGGAAAAAATGCTTAGAATCTAAAATTCAGTAAATGTAATTACCGAAGGCGTAGACATCAATGTGCTTCAATCCCAAGATAATCTTTTTACGCAGCCCAATTCCCAAAAGTCTCCGAGACTCGAAAATAACCGAAGGAAACGCTGCTCCGGTCTTCGTTTCCACAACTGAAGGTGAAGGGTCTGCTAGAGAGAGTGAAGCCCACGGTGCTAGCAAGTGATTGGAGAAGAGAAGATTCAGGGCGTTTTGGATGAATGGGTTATCTTGTTTTGGATTTTTGGAGTTGCGGGTGGCTGCTATGCCTGCAAATGCAGCAGCTCCGGCGGCCAGGGCACATGCCACGGTGGTTGTGGTGGCGGAGAAGGAGCGGGAAGTGATGGTACGGGAAATGCCGTTGGGGTGTTTCTTGGGCTGAGAAAACAAGAACGGGAAGCGCAGTGAAACCATTTTTTTTTAAAAAAATTTTTTTAATATCTTTTGTTTCTCTTTGAAATTATATTGAAACTTGGATTTACATATGCTTAGAGTGGCACGTGATCTGCACGTTTGATACAACCTGGTTTTGTTGGGTTGAACTTTGAAGAGAGAAAAGCCTAATAGTAATTTGGGCTGATCAATACATCTCCATTAGCAAATTCAACGGCCCAGGATGAAAAATAACGATCATAGATTGGAAGTTGGAGCTACGATGCCATTCAAATTAAGGCATATTTTGATGTTTTTCTTTTCGAGCTATTTGGAGAGGGGTGATAACGGAGGAGAGTCATGTAATTTCCTCTATAAAGTCATTTTAACCTTTATATTCCTTTCCGAGGGGAAGAAGAAAGTGATAATTAATTATGCACTACTGCCGGTAATTAACGTTGTTCAATTATATTGTCCAATCCTCAAAAAGGTTAAGTAAGTAAAATGCCATTTCATAAATGAAGTTCATAAAGTCAGACGACAGCTTAATTTAATAAAGGTTTAGAAAAGTTAGACGATAGCTTTCAAAAGTCCGCACCATTCTCCTAGTTAATGAAGTTGGTTTAATTGTGATATTAATCACTTCATCATCATGGGCCACAAGAGATTAATAATAATTAAATACGTGCATAAATAAAATCAACTGTCCATGTCCATGTCCATTGCGCGCGTCCGCATGAGCTAGCATGTAAGATTCTAGCACTTTCCTGCAAGCATACCCGGTGGTCAAAACAAGGCATCTTGACAAAGTAAACTGTAGAATAGGGTTTGGTTTGATTACTGTTTGGAGTCAGGAAGACAGTGACAGGTGGGATAAGAGAGTTTACCTTTCGATTCAGCTTCCAAGAATATTAACATTCAATTCAAAATTATTTTAGAAATATATTTATTTTACACTATTATTTCTAGTTTTTTTTAAATATTATAGATACAACTAGATAATTGTCCCGTCTATGTTGTGTGTGATATATAAATAAAAATTGATATAAAAATATATTTACATATTATTAATATTTTTTTCTAATAAAATAAATTTAAACTATATGAAGATTTACTTTGTATAACATGATCGATTTGACAAGGTCAAAAATAATTTAGATGATCGATAAAAATATATTTTGACTCAAAATAAATATTTAAGATTTTTTTTATAAATACTGAAACAATAACATATTGGATCTACTCGGGTCAACTTAACAATCTGAATATTAGGTTATAAGACTATGATAATATTATAGAAATCAAATCAAAATAAATTATAAATTTTAATTTTTTATAAACTCAATATTGAATGATGAAATTAAGAAAAATAACTCAAGTTAACCCAGGTTAACATGTCAAACCCGCAATTTAATCATGAGATTATAATAATCCAATAGAAAAAAAAATTAAAATAAATTATGAAGCCTAAATCTCGATAAATCTCATGTTGAAAGATGAAACTAAAAAAAATTTAAAAAAAAATTGAGTTAGCCAGGTTAACCCTGTCCAAATCATTACCTAAGTCATGAAATAAGAATAAACTCATAGAAAACAAACCAAAATAAATCATGACGTCTAATTCCAAATCAATCCAATAGAAAACAAGGAAAACAACTCGTGTTAACTAAATTCACTTGTCAAACTCACAGTTCAAATCATAAGACTGAGATAACCTCATAAAAAATAAACTAGAAAAAAGTATAAATATAATTCCTAATAAACCTAATATTGAAGGAAGGAATTGAGATTGAAAAATCAATTAAAAAAGAACATAAAAAATAACTTCAGTTAACTCGAGTTAAATTGTTACACCAGTAACCTGAGTCATAAAATCAAGATAAACCCATAAAAAACAAATTAAAACAAATCATGAAACTTAATTCTTAATAAAAACCAAAAGTGAAGACCGTATATAGTTATAACTAGATCGTTAAGATGCGCTATGTCATGGGTCATATTAATTATTATTTTTTTGAATATACAAAACAAAGATCTAGACATTGCTAATATTTTTCTATTTTTTTTTTAAATCAAGTAGAGTTTGACTTAATGTGATCTAATTGACTTAATGAATTTAAACGTAACCTTGACAATTAGTAAAAATATAGTTTGATTAATAAAAAATCAAAACAATATTTTTTTATTAAATAACATTAAAATAATATAGATTGAAATAACAATACTTCATTAAATAAAGTGTATAAATGAAGTATTTTATGTTTTTTAAAGTAAACTATTAGGTAGGGTTTGGTTTGATTATTGTTCTTGTGTTATTTTTTTTATTTTTTTGTATTATTTTTTAATTATTTAAAAAAATATTTTGAGATTGTGTCCGGCTACAAAGCAAGACTCAAAATATTTAAAAAAATTTAATTTTTTTATTTAATTTTTTTATTTTTATAATATTATATAAAAAAATTATATTAAAATTGAGTTTGACTGGATAACTAAATCCAAGATAATTGAGTCTGGAATCGAATACTAATGGATCAGGCTGAAGGACCTAACACTTGCCAGCCAAACTCAGAACACTTCCAAAAAATATCAATAACATTGAATTCTATTTATACTAGGACCCTATAACGTCTGGACCTCCTTCCCACCAGGACAAAGTGTTTGGGTTTCCCTTTCATCATGACCCAACATTTTAATTTTTATCTTTTTAATTTTTTTTATTGATTTTTTTCATATTATAAAGATGAAATTAATTGATGTGATTTTTTTTATATAAAAGTTGGATAATGATATTTTTTTATTTTATTTCAGTTTGTGTTGAATTTTTTAATTAAAGCATGTTTGATTTGCATTTCAAAAATTTTATGAATTTTTTTTTATGATTTTTAAGTTTTTTTTAATTTCAAATTAATACTTTTTATGTTTTTGTATTATTTTTTAAAAGCTTTTTAAAAAATATATTGAGATCATATTTGCTTGCGAAGCAATACCAAGGAATTTTTAAATTTTTAAATTTTTTTCGTTACTTCAAAATATTTTTTTAAAAAAAATATATTGACATTATATTTGGTTATGAAGAGAGACATGAGAAATTTTTAAATTTTAATTTTTTTCTTTACTTCAAATTTTTTTTTTTAAGAAAAATATACATTGAGATTGTGTTTGATTGTGAAGCGAGACCTAGAAAATTTGAAATTTTTGTTTTTTTTTACTTCCATATAGGTTTTTTAATATATATATTGACATTGTGTCTAGTTGCGAAGTGAAGATCAGGAAATTTAAAAAATTTAAAATTTTTTATTTACATCAAATTAATTTTTTTAAAAACATATATTGACATTATGTTTGGTTGCGAAGCGAAGTTGAGAAAATTGAAAAATTTTAAATTTTTTTCTTTAGGCCAAATTAATTTCTTTCAAAAAATACATATTGACATTATGTTTGGCTATGAAGTGAAACCTTGGAAATTTGAAAATTTTAATTTTTTTTCTTTACTTAAAAATATATATATTGAGATTGTGTTTGGCTATAAAGCGAGACCTAATAAATTTGAAAATTTTAATTTTTTTTTACTTCAAATTAATATTCTTTTGATGTTTTTATATTATTATTTTTTTAAAAATCGATATTGAGATTAGGTCCAACGTCACCAAGACCCAACTCTAATGAGGTGTTGTTGTGCTGCAGAACCAACTATATAGAGTCTTGGGTCAAGTAGGACCCAATAGGGTGGGTCCCTGCCTCCCATCACACCAGCACCCAACAGCATTAGGTCTTGCCTCTCACACATCAGGACTTAACAACTAGTGTTCAATAGCATTAGGCTCTGCCTTCCACCACACAAGAACCTAGTAGCTTTAGGTCTCATATCTTAAACAAGATCCAACTATATAGGATCTTGTATTCTGCTTTTATCAGGACCCAATAGAATTAAGTCCTTTATTAATTAGGATCTAACAACGTTGGGCCCTGCCTTCCACACACCAGGATTCAACAGCGTTAGGCCCTACCTCCCATAACACCAAGACCCAACAACATTGAGCCTTGTACCTTAGGCAGGACCTAACTATATAAGGTTAGAGGTTCTGCCTCCATCAAGACCCAATAGGGTTGAGCCCTTTATTTAGCAGGACCTAACATCGTTAGGCCTAGCCTCCCACCACTTTAGGATCCAACAATGCTGGGATCTCCTTCCTGCTAGACCCAACAGTTTTGAACCTTGATCACACCATGACCCAACACACAATTGAGCCCTACTGTCACTAGGATCCAACGTTTTTTATGCCCTTTTGAATTGGAACCCAATAGCTTGGTTCATGCCCAGCAACAGGCTAGTGGGTCCTACTAAAAGGCCTGGCCCAATAGCTTTAGAAGGGTATGTTTCATTCAAAATTTGAGCTTGTAATTGACCCAGAGTAAACCAGTCAACCTGTCAAGTTAACCCAAGACTCGAGTGACCAGGCAAAAACCCGAAAAGAACCTTTTTTTTCAAATATATTTTTTCTCCTACCCTAGATCCTTTTTTTTTCATATTTTTCAGTGCTTAATAACTCATTTCAAAGTTTACTATTTAAATACTATAAGAATGTTTTATTTTTGTAATATGAGATTTAAAGACCTTTAATATATATATATATATTCACAAGAAAAAATTTATGGTTTCTCAATATGGGTTAATAAACCTCTTTAGTTTAAATACTTCAACTTAAAATAATAAGATAGTATCTTTCCAATATAAGATAATAATATTTTGAAATAATCTTTGAAACTTAATTGTTTACAACATTTATAGCTTATATCTATATAGATTGTTTTTTAATTTTTTTATATAAAATATTAAAACTTCAAATATTCAACCTCCAATCCGGGTTTGAAAACTATGATGTTAGATAATAATATAAATCATATATTGAAACACTATCTTACAATTTAAGTTATTAGGTTGAGATAGTTATTTGATATGGTATCAGAGTCTTGATAACTAAATGGTCATGAATTCAAATCTCATCATCCCTATTTATTTGATAAAAATTAAGCACAAGATAATATAAGTATGTGCAAGTTTGAAGCTTAAAAGGCTT